GTTTCACGTTTCAGCTGCAAAGGAACTGCGCTAACAAACTTTTTTTTGAAAGGTTTTTGTTTTCTATATATTAAGACAAATTTAAAACTATGAAAGAGATTAATAGTGATCAATATCATTCTTATGCGTTCTTAAATGTAGATAGTGTAACGTCTCCTTAGCATGCATTGTATGCATGATGTTTTTCCTCTTCTTTCTATTTCTTCTCATATATTGTCCTTATCTTTCTGTCATTACTTCGTACATCATGTTGCGCTTTGTCCTTCTATGCCTTTCTTCTGTCTGATGGGCGAGTTTATAAGTGTATGCTTTGTATGTAAACGATGCGATTCTTGATAGGAAGAAATACAATAAGACGTAGTTCCATCAGCGCTAGCTCTTCTTCCATCTAAAATCATCACAGATAGTAATTAAAAAGAACATTGAACCTATAGCAAGCAAAGTGATCTGTATGAATATAAACAAAAATATGTATGCTTTCTTAATTACGTGCTTGAATGGTCAGTCAAACCATTGCAAGATAAAAAAGCTAGAAAAAAACACAATGCAAAAAGAAACACATGTTTTTGTAACGTCACCGAATGACACAAAGACAGATATATATTGAGTTGGCAATATATATCTGCGCCTGTTTTTATTATCTTAATAATAAAAACAGGCGCAAAACTTTCTTGTCAACCCAATATATTCGTGTATGTCTCGATATTTATCCCACAAATAAAAATTGTAAAGTAACGTGTAGTAAACTATATTTAGTGTCGCGCTTAATGAAACATAAGATATAGAAAAAAAAAGACTGTTATCGACGCTTATTGTGCAAATTTTACAACAACAATGGCAAATACTATTAGTTTTCTAATCACTAATATAATGAACACTATTATTTTCCCACTACAAAATGGTGATGATACTTTAGATGACTCTGAAGTCGAACAACAAACTAAACTTATGCATGAAGATAATACAATATGGAGAGCCGTCTATAATGCAGACAAAATTGCAATTGATCATTTCATCGATGCTGATCCTGATCTTATTAATAAAAGAGGAGCTATTGGCGAGTGTCCTATTCATGTGCTATTTCTGCGTGGAACAGATGCACATTTTGATATTGCTCGAGATCTTATTCTACGATTTCCAACGATCATAACGCAAACTTATTATAGTTCAGTAAATATATTAAATTGATTTTTGAATTTGAATAATAAATATAAATTTTATAGAAATATCATGGTGAGAATATTCTTCATATTGCAATTGTTCAACGTAATCCAGCTATGGTTGAATGGCTACTTAGTAATGATCGTTTAGAATCCTATCGTCAACAATTATTGACAGCAAGAACTACCGGTAGCTTCTTTAAAACGTAAGTTTTATTTCTCGTTTGTCTTTTACTTCATATGTGTATTTAATAGAGGTAAAATATCTTATTATGGTGAAACTCCATTAGGATCTGCTTGTTGTACCAATCAATGGAATATTGTTGAAATCTTACTCAAATATGGTGCTGACATGGATGTGGTTAGTGAATAAGAAAAAAAGATTAAATGCTGAATGTACAATGTCAAGAAGGATAAATCTTTGAGCAAGAAATATTCGACACCAATATTACAGAATTTATTTGTAGTATCTAAAAACTAACTCGCTTAGAGACATAGATTTTTTTAACTATAATCTTTAGTCCTCATTGGAACATTTTTTTTCACACGATGCCAATCCCGATTTCAAAAACTTTTCTTCTCTATAGAGTTGGCCTTTGTCCCGGCAAACTTCTAAAGTAAGATCGCAGTTCTGCACTTGTCTAGTCTAGATATTGAACACTGCTGATTTTTATTGAGATTTTAAATGAGACACTCCTACCTAGGTCGAAGTTTTCGGGCTCTGAAAACATTCGGATTTCACTAGAAATCTACTTCCATGTTTTATAAATTTTGCGATATTTTCGTGCACGAACCAGCCCGCACCTCTTGACCTAGGTGCACAGAAAAAATGTCATTTGATTTCTTTATATTTATATCTAGACGGACAGTAATGGTAATACCATACTGCATATGCTCGTTAATTGCAATTTACCCGAAATTTATGCTAAATTCAAAGCTCGTTGGATAGAACAACAGAATATTCATAATGACAAAAAAATAACTGACTCAAAATCAACAGAATCATCAGAATTATGGAATCATTTAAATAAAGATGGTTTAACACCATTGACTCTAGCAGCTGATTTAGGTCGAGCTAAAATGTTATCATGGTTACTAGACGAACGTAAAAGAACATTATGGTCTTATGGTAATGTTTCATATGTACTATATCCTCTCAATCAACTTGATATTTATTTTCATCAATACGTAAGTTTAAATTCATAGAAATATTTTTATCTAGTAGATTTCTATTTTAGAATAAAGAACGACCTCTTAGTGTACTTGAAATAATAATTAAAAAAAATAATGCAGAATTAATAAATCCTATAATTGTATCTTTAATTGACAAAAAATGGAGATCTTTTGTTTATCGAATATTTGTTCGACGATTTTCTATTATATTTCTTTATCTTCTTGTTTTTCTTGCTACAACAACTTTACGACAAACAAAATCAGAAAAAGTAATTTAACAAAACATTTTGTTTAACTATGGAATATATATATATATATATATTTAGACAGCTGGTGAACTCGATGAAAAAACAGGAATAACAAATGGCAAACATTTGAGTGTTTTTGATCAATTCCTCTATTCAGTCGGTCATACCATTGTAATAATGGGTGCTGCATTACGAAGTGCATATGAAATAAACGAAATTCGTAGGTTGGGTTTCCGAAAGTACTGGAGAAATACAGTGCGTGATTAATTGTTTTAGATTTAATTGATTAATATGAATGTTTTAGGGGTTTACTTTTCTTGGAAATTGTTTGGCATGCTCATTTTGTTTTTGTATTTTTACTTGCGAAATTCTTCGTCTATTTGGAATGCAACAATATGAAACTCAAATACTTGCTTTTACTTCTCTTATTGGATGGGGTAATATGTTGTTTTTGATTATGCCATTTCAATTTACTGGTCCATTTGTTATTATGATTTATAAAATTTTATTCAATGATGTTCTTCGTTTTTCTATAATATATATAATTTTTCTTGTTGGCTTCGCACAATCATTTTGTATTTTATTCAATGAATATGGTAAAATCTTTTAAAGGATGAATACTTCATTTATAGAAAAAAAATATTTTTAGAAAACTTAATTTATAATGCAATTATTATTCTGAATAAATGACTTTAATATATTTTAGGTTTGCAAGGTTATATATCAAGTATCAAACTATGTTTTCTCAGTTTATTGGGTGATTTTGACCTTGATTATTATATTGGCGGAGAATATCCATTGACAAGTGTTACATTATTTATCTTCTATATGCTACTTATTACTATTCTTTTGTTAAATTTACTTATTGCTATGATGGGTGATACATATGCAGATGTAAGAAGAAGTGCCAAAAAATTATGGTTTGTTTTATTTATTTCTATTGCTTCTTTTTTTTCTTTTTATTACTTTACTTTTTTTCTAAACAAAAAAAGGCACTTAGAGCGAGCACGTATTGCACTTCGTATGCAAAATACCATGCCGAGATCTCAACGTCTGTTTAGTTTCAAAAAATATTGGGTAAATATAGAGGGTGAACGTTATATGCAAGTGGAAGAAAAAGTGAACAATAAACAATTTCAAACTATAGACGACGAACCAAATAATGACTACTACTATCAAGAAAAATAGTGAAAAGAACAAAAAACGGACAATTGGTTTTTTTTATGAAATCTTTCTCTTATTTATTTCTATCTTATAATAAACAATATCAATTAACTTAGTTTAGTGTAAATAATATTTTTGTTTTATAAGTTTTCAATAGGAAAACGAGCCCAAATAATTGTTAAATATTAAAATTTATTTATTCTATTAAAACCTAATAAATAATTTTACGTTTTTCCCATATTGCATGTATAAATGGGTCATTAGCGATTTATAAAAATAATGGATTATATTAAAATCAGCTGATACTTTATAATTTGATTTTTCTAAAAATAAAAAGTTTTGAAAAATGAAAAAAAAAACGCAGTCAAAAACTTAATTTTTTTATCAAATTTTGGATGTTGACCATGTGAATTTATTTTGTCGACATATGTTTGATCGATTGCTTTTGAAAATCAATATTCTTCATCTAATAAACTTAAAGTACCCCTTTGCTAAAAATATGTACAAAATTAATTATTTGTTTTCATCATTAATTTACTTTTTCAATAAGATCAATTATTAGTTGAAGATCAAAACCAAAATTCAAAAATTCCCATCAATATTTTCACAATGATATTCTTCTTGTTCAGGAACAAAATATTGTACTATGATTAAATAATTGTCAAAGCTTTTCATTTGTATAATTTATATATAATGGTTCAAATGAATTTAATTGAAAAATTTCAAAATTAGTTGTATCAAGTATACCAATAAATGATGAACCTTGTCGTTTACGTCGATCAAGAGGTTTATTGATACGTGTTACAATCCATTTAAACATACATTCGTCTATTACTTTTGATATAACTCCAATAGCATAATCAGCTTATTCAAATATGATCAATGTTGTTTGTCATTTTTTTCTCTTTCGAAAGAAAGCGAACATATATTGAAGGTAAATTAATTTTAATGAAATAGAGAGATTAGCAGGAGATTTCCAAAGGCTTTTTTTGACCAGAAATAGAACACCTCAAATAAGAAAATAAGGTTTTCTATAGGACTACATCGGACTCGTTCGCGATCTCTCTCTATGTTTGTTCGATTGGATTGAAAATTTTTTTAGATTACTTTCGACTGTATCTCAGAAGTAGTTTTTAACTTTTGAAAAATCTTGCTTTTCTTTTTGATTTTGCAAGAATATATATAAATTTGAATCCAAAGTCGGATTCTTGACCGTCAGAACTTTATAAATGTGAATAGAAAGATCCAAAATAAAAACTACCGATTTGACATTCAGAGACATAGAAGAAAGGATACCTTCCCATAAGGACTGATGCCAAACGACAGACTCAAGATATCGATATCTTCTGTATAAGACGACCCGATATAGAGTTCTCTAGCTCTCCATACACATAAACTAATCACAAGGGCATTTGTACGTTACAATATAATCAACATGCTATAAGACAGACACTCCGAAACAAATTCCTATAGCTGATTATGTCGAAGTCCGAAGGGTGTGGGTGTGGGTGGGCGTGGGCGTGTGTGTGGGGGTGGGGTGCGGGTGTGGGTGTGGGGTGTGAATGTGAGTATGGAAGGGTGAACATTCACAGATTTTCTATGATGCCACACTCACACCCACACCCACCCACACCCTTTAATATATAAATCTCTAGTTTATTTTAGTTTTACTTAATTAAGAATACATATAAAGAAAAAAATTATCACTCACACACAACTTATGTTCACTATTTCTGTTTTATGTCTATCCATTATATTCAATGTTGAATTTTTGTACTCGATGATTATTGCAGTCGACGACATAAAGATTTCCGTTTCGATCGAATGACAAACCGATAGGACAATGAAGTTGGTTCGATTGTGCTCCCTCACCGTTTCCACCAACAATAACACTTCCTTCTGTGCCTCCTTTCGACAAACGCATGATTCGAGCATTCACACAATCAACCACATAGACAGTGCCCAATTCATCGACAGCGACTCCTGCAGGACTACACAATTTTGTAAGACCATTTCCTTGTCCTTGACTATCAGCCAAAACAACGCCTTGTTTTGCACCTTCCATCCATTTCATCACACGACGATTGTTGCAATCAGATACGTACACTGAATGATCTCGATCGACGAATACGTATTGTGGCCTAAAGAGTTGATCGAGACGATTTCCATATCCATTGCCACCTGCAACCACTGTTCCTTCAGATTCTCCTCTTCGATATCGTCTCACTTCATTTTTTACCTCATCAACGACATAGAGAGATCCATTCTCATCCATTGTCAAA